GTGGACATTTAAAAGAAATGCTCCATTTAATGAATTTCAATGACAAGCCAAGAAGCGCCGAGTAGACACTGAATAGGAAGAAGTGAGGTTTTTACCCACGAAAGCTTATGCTCAAATAAATCTGTTAGTCTTTAATGTGCCACCAGACTCCTTGTTGTTTGACTAGGACTAAACTATGTACATAATAGTTTTTTGCCATTTGTTTCATAATAAATTTTATTTCTATAACCCTTTTGCTGATTTTTAAAGTGTTACATAAACAGGACAGGCGAAATATTATCATGTAAAGCAACCATAAACACATGAAAAGACCTAGGTTTACAATTTATGATTAAAACTCTACTATCTACACAATATACATAGACATAAAATGTAAAAACTTAAATATCTTAGAAACAGTAGCCAATCAGTTGTTTTAATTGTCATATTTGAAATCAGCACATCAAAATACATAATAAATAGCACATTTTATCTCTGGAGCAGATGATTCCTCAAAAATTGTAGATCAGTGTAATTTGTTTAAATGTGATAGCAAAATAGCAAATGTTTTCATTCTCCTATGTTTTCTCTCTAATAGAAGAAATCTAACAGGAGGGACATCTCTGCACTGAAGTCTACCCTGCAAGACGTGAAAGCTGAGAATGAGCATTTGAAAAGCTGCTCACCCATGATTTCAGAATCAGGTGCATCATTAGCCAGTGCCCAGTCAACCCTCTCATGTCTACAACAAACCATCCATGGGCCAGACTGTGATTTCTCAGACACCTCGCAGCCACGGTCTGCATATGGTGTCACCAAGAATGTCTGTAGTGTCCATTCTCAGACAATTGAGTCATCTCTGGTGCCCTGCGATGCATGTGCAAGTGGCCAGGCCAGCCTCCGGGAGGTCGGTAAAGCCATCATCAGCATCTGCCACAGCCAGAACATCCCCTCATCCCTGGGCAAATTCCAAGAGATGGTTGAGGAGACCCTAGGCAACAAGCCACTCACCGCTATGGACATAAGTTTCTGGGCATCAGAACAGAGCAAAGACCTCTCCCGTATCAACAAACATCTTGGGGGGCTGATGCAGCTGATAAACCCTTTGAAGGCAGAGCTGGAAGAATCTGAGAAACAGAAGGATGAACTGAGGAAGCAGGTTGAGGACTTTGACAAGCTTCTTCAGAAGGAGAATGAGACCCAGGAACGGCAGAGGAAGGCGGCTGAGCAGTACTTGGAGGAAAAGATCAAAGAGAATTTGCAGATCACAGCCAAACTGGAGAAGGACAAGGAAGATCTACGGACAGGTGCAGTGCCAGTCCCAGCTTGTCCCTAGTCAGTAGGTGTTTTCATTAGACACAACCAGAGTCCCATGGAACTCAGTGGGAGTTTTGCCATTGACTTCAATGGGATTAGGATTTCACCCCTTGATAGTTGATTATTCCCTTTAAATTAACTCTTCTGTTCACAAATTTCTTCTTTCTCTGTATTTTTGGTGGCCGAGAGGGCAGATATTGCAGACTCCCTACTTCACTTCTGCTTCTGGAGGGGTGGCTGTTTCCTACTCACTCACCTTCTGGGTCCTTTTATTCCCTTCTGCTCTCCATCCTCTGGTCATCAGTGCTTGCTCACTGCGTCTGGCAAGCCGCTAATGCTCTACATACAAGCTGATGGGGTGGGCGGGGGGCTTTTCAGAACAGTACAACAGGCCTTTCTGTAATGTATCTAACTCACTAGCTCATAAAGGGGCCATTCAAAGGGAGGGAGAAATCCTCCCTAGGGGTCAATATGGTATCTTCACAATATGCTTGATCATCTAGCTGATCCTCACCAACCTAAAGAGTGAGAACACAGGTGACCTGAGTCTGTGGATGCAGCTGTGCCAGTGGGTGACATCTCTCTCGCTCTCTTCTCCCCCCTCCCCCCCACACTTGGTGTGATGATATGAAGTGTTTATTGGGATTCTGGCATTGGTAATGAGTGGTGCATTATGTAGCTTGTCCCTAATGAGTGTCAATAAAATCTTGGCCCCATCCCATCCTGTGTTGTGTATGTGTCACATCTGTTTCCAGAAAAACTATTTCACAATTTTTTTCAAGATTTTTTTTAAACACACAAATTTTCCATATCCCTCTGGCTGGAAAGTCAGGCATCTTAAGACCAGAAGTTCAGTAAATAATAAAGATGATCAGCAATGTTGTTTTTCCTGGCTCCTCCATTTGTGAAGCATAGAGTGATGCACTCATTTGATGAGAAATGCCATGGTGTGATTGTTATGTGTAGATAAGACCTGGGAGGTCCTTGCTAAGTTGTTTGTTCTGGTTGCTTTAGGAGCTGTTGTGCTGGAGGAGAGAATTTCCATCTTGAAAGAAGAGCTGCTGTCACAGCAAGCTACCATGCGAGAGCTGGGTAAGAATTCTCATGGGCTCATCCATCCAACTGATCTCATCCATAGACTTTATTCTCCTCTCACGCTGTTTTTACACCAGTGTAGTTCTGTTGACTTTAGTGGGGTTGCTCCCAATTAGCACTGCTGTAAGTGAGAGGAGGATCAGCACCAATGTATTTAAATGACCTCCATCATTGTAGTATCTGAGTGCCTTCTAACCTCCACTGCCCAGGTAACACACTAGGGAGAATCCTGGGGGCTGGGGCAAGATCCCATGAGCCTCTCAGAATCTCAGACACTTCAGCACAGGGAACAGCAAACTTGAATCCCTAGGAAGAGAAGCCTTGGGGCTAGGTTATTCCTTACAGGTTGTGGGGAGAAGCTATGCTGCAGTGGGAGCCACAAATGGCTGACTTCCAAAATTCCTCCCAGGGCTCTTGGTTGACTGTTCTCTGCCACCCATCAGATGGGTATAGCAGTGCTCCCCCTGCACCAAGCCAGCTCTTGGTACAGAGGTAGGCCCGTGGCTTTGGGAAGACTAATGCCAGCATGATGCAATCTCTCTGCTTCCTGCTTACACAAGGGGAAGGCTCCATGTGCCACCTTCCCCCATCTCATGCACCCATGCAGAGCCAGCCACAGTGTGGCCCTTAAAGACTAACAGTGAAGCCTGTCTACCAGGCTGATACATGAATGTGTTTGCCCTGGGGTGCTAGCACCATGTGTTGGGACTCACAAGGTTGCAGGCCCAAGTGAGGACGGTGGCTAGCCTTCTGGGAGGGGATCTATTAGAGAATTTAAGTCATGCCAGAAAGCTTCCTCTCTCCTAGCTCATCCACTTCCCACAGGATCATGGAACCTGGGGAAGGAAGAGCCCATCTTTCCCCCATTATGAGCTCCTCCCATCCACAGCATTGGTTATAGGATGTTGTGTATTCACAGAGCTGACCAAAAGCACCCTGCTGGAGGAGATGAGGACTAAGATGGCCCACAAGAGCCAGATGACGAAGCTGGAAGACCAAGTGCAGCTGCTAACCAGCCAGTTGGAGAACGCAAGCCACACGCTCAGTGGGGCCACCACCCAGCTGGACAAGGAGAAGGCCAAAGTGGAAAGCATGCTCAGGCATGAGGAGGTGTGGCCATGGGAGGAACCGGACCTGTTGCTCCCTACCTTACCCGAATCTAACTCCCTTCTACTCTCCACTAGGCCTCTCTGGCTGGTCCTTGTCCATGCTGCTCTATCCATACCTCTCCCGTCATCCCGTCTCTTCTGTTCTGCTCCTTCTGCTGCTGCCCAGCCTTGTTTTCATTTAAGACTTATGCCAGGATTGTAAACAGGGTCTCTGTGGGAAGCTGAGGGCTCAGCTCAGTGTTCCTGCTCCCCTGCCCGCCCCGCGTTGCTTTGCTTGTACTTCCCTGGCAATATCTTGTGCTATCCCTTTGTTCAAGAAGTGAGTATCGGACAGGTAGAGAGGAGCTGTGCACCTGAGCAATGTTGCCATCTTACTTGTGCACTGTCACCCTTGCCTGCGGGGGAGCTGCCTTCTGAAAGCAGCCTGTCTGCTGGATGGTTGCAACTTACTTACCTTCGTCAGTATCCCCTCTGTGCCTATTTCATACCCTCAGCGCAGGGGCATTTTGCTGTCAGTAACAAGCTCACTTTTGAAAATGGCCACTGATCAATTCCAGCATTCCAGGGAGCGCTCTAGGCACAGGTGGGCAGGACCCCATGCTTTTGGTGAAAGCTGGAGAAGCCTGATCTCCCCTAGAACCAGGCCCACTGGCAGACATGCCAAACCCACAAAAAACTGCAGAAATTGTTTTTGGCTTAATTGGCTTGTGAGTTGCTTGTTGGCTAGTTTTTGGCTTGTAGCTTGTTTTTTTTTTTTTATTAGCTTCCGGCAAGCAGGGGCAAGGTGGGGGACAGAATCAGGGCTGCAAGCGGGCCCACCATGGTCCCAGACTGCACACTGGGAGGATCTAGTCACAGAGTATTGTGCTTCTTAGGGATTGGCTTGTTTTGAAATGGGATTAGCTTGATTTTTTGCTTATTGTGCAATTCGGGGTGCTTATTTACTGTGTGAAAGTTGGCAACTGTGCCCACCGGTGCCCATTTGGTGCTGCAGGCAGAGGAAACTCTCTCGTGCCCTCTGCTGCTACCTACACATATCACAGGCCATAGGCACCGACATCCCCTCTGCCCAGTGGATGCTCCACCCCCCCTCCACCCGTCCCCGCCCCTACACCACCCTTGCCCCACCCCGATTCCACCCTTTCCCCAAAGTCCCCACCCACCCCGCTTTTTCCCACCCCCATTCCACTCCCTTCCCCCAAGTCCCTGTCCCTGTCCTGCCTCTTTGCCTCCTCCCTTGAGCACGCCATGTCCCTGCTCCTCCCCCTCCCTCCTGGAAAGTCCTAGCACCGCCAAACAGCTGTTAAGCAGCGGGGGAGGAGGAAAGCAGGGACGCCACATGGCGGGGAGAGCAGGAGGCTAGGAGGGGGGAGCTTGGCTGCTGGTGGGTGCGGAGCACCCGCTAATATTTCCCCACGGGTGCTCCAGCCTCAGAGCACCCACGGAGTTGGCACTTATGTCACAGGCTGTGGCATACTAGTGGGTCACACACTTCCTTGGTAATGTGGGCCAAGCTGAACACCCAGGTAGGCTCCTCTTGCCTCCCCCCATCACACACTTTTGCCCCCCTTCTTTATTATTACCCTTCCTGCTTTAAAGCTACTTGAGCCGCTGAGGGTGACATCTGTACATATTATCTGCCTTCCTCTTTCTGTGAAGTCGCTCCAGGCCAAGCAGAGGGCCCTGTTGCAACAGCTGGACTGCCTGGATCAGGAGTGTGAGGAGCTGAGGGCCAGCCTAGGCGAAGCGGAGGACGACAAGGCTAAGCTGGAGCAACAGCTGAAGGAGACACAGGCTGAGAAGCAGCAGGTTCAGAGCCAGCTCGAAGCCCAGCAGGTCAGCGTTAATGTCCCCAGAGCAGCAAGGAGTTCCTTCAGCAGTAGGGGCTCCCCTGAGAGGCAGTGAAAGGGGAGTTAGAGCTGAACTGCTGAGGTCCAGTGGGGGAGGGGGCCATTAAGGGGCTCAGAATGAATGCCCCCCACTTGGGTACACCGTGGAGTGCCAGTGTGCTTGGGGGTGGGGTGAGGGTGAACAGGCTACACTGCACAATGATGGAGGGTTGAGAGAACAGTGAAGAGCATTGAGATGGCTTCCTCTTGCACTGGCTCCAGCCAGGCCATCTGTCCATGGTTAGCATCGCTGGGCCACTCCTGAGAACGCTACTCCATTTTACTCAGTCCTTCTCCCTCTGACTGATGGGAATGTGTTCCAAGCAAGGAGCAGGGGCCTCAGGGACTGGCCCTCTCAGCAGAGCCCTGTTAGGCACTGAAGGTTGTGGGCATTCCGGGACAAGTGCCACATCTGTCTGGTGCTGGTGCTCCCACATCACACGGAGACCCAATGGTTCATCACATTGGTGTGCCACTCACTGGACAAGGAGATCAGATTCAGCCCTGAAGGCAATGTTACAGCTGCATGATGAACTCTTCTCCTCTCCTAGCCACTTTGCAGCACCCCCCTCCCTCACCCTCTCCCCTGGGCAGAATCACTCTGAGCTGGGACCACAGCAGGGAAGGAGCTTGATGAAACTTAGCCATACTCTTCCTGTCCAGTGCAGCAGCTAATGGAGAACCTGCAGCAGGAGAAGCTGAGCTTCGAGCAGTCTACATCTGAACTACTCAGGAACATCTCTGAGCTGGATGAGCTGCTCCAGGAGCTGAAGGAGAGGGAGAGGCTGCTGGTGTCCTTTCCAGACCTCCACATCCCTGCTGAGGCGCAGTTTGAGAGTAAGAGAGGGCATGGGGTGGGGCAGCAGACAGTAAGAGCCTGTGCAGGGGGTAGCACACACCAGAATGGACAGCAACAGACTTCTACCCCCCACCCCCACCTCAATAGTGCTCATGCACTGAGTGCCCTAGAGGGCACGTATCCCCCAGCTCATATACATGGGAGTGTGCGATTCCAGCAGCTGTTTTAGAATTACACAAATATAAAAATCAGACTTTCAATTAAACAAACTATCCCACTGAAAAAAAATCAGAGTTGCAGTCCAGAGGGATCGCCCACGAGACAAGTGACTATGAGATGTGACCCATAACATAGCATAGAGTCATGTGGTCATCTTAACCCTTTACAGACTGCAGCTGTGTATTTAGGGGGGAGGGATAGCTCAGTGGTTTGAGCATTCGCCTGCTAAACCCAGGGTTGTGAGCTCAATCCTTGAGGGGGCCATTTAGGGATCGGGGCAAAAATCTGTCTGGGGATTGGTCCTGCTTTGAGCAGGGGGTTGGACTAAATGACCTCCTGAGGTCCCTTCCAACCCTGATGTTCTATGATTCTGTCTACATCCCCCTAAACCCACCTTTGGCTAACAGTCAGATACAGCTGATCTTGGCCATGTGTCCATAGGAGAGATGTCTGGTAGGATCTGGAATAGAGGTTCCTCTGGTCACACAACATCCCTGCAGATCAGGATGGCATGTTTTTAGTACAGTGGGACAAGATAATTCCACCTGGAAAGGTTCTGCTAGCAGCCTACCTGCCCCAGTGTTCTGCAGTTGACGGGTTGCATGGTGCTTAGTGAAGTGTAACTGGGCACAGCCCTCCATAGTTCCTCTTGCTACCCCATGTCCTTTTATAACAAAGAGCTCAGTTCTCCACTGTATCCAAGCTTGGTCTGGTGCAGGGAAGAAGGAGGGAGCATCCTCAGGAAGTGAGCATCAGCTCCACCATCCTGCAGGCCTAGTCCCAGTGTAAGGTAGAGTTGCTGTGGAGTAAGGTAGTCAATGACTTTATGCCAGTGGAGCGCCACTCTACCATGCCCTCTTCTTCCTCCCAGCCCACCTCCATCACCCAATGGGACCTATTGGCCTCACATGCCCCTAGTGCTGGAGGGTGGGCGGGGGATGCAGCTGGTGCAGGTACTAAGTGGCCATATCAGCCAAAGAGTCTGTCCTAAAGCCTCCAGCTAAGGGAAGAGATTGGTCTGTGGACATGTGGAAGCTGCTTGAATGTAATGGGGTGGGGGAGGATGCATCTCGGTTCACTTGTTCAGCATGTTCCACTTTGTGGTGGGATGTCACATCACTAAAAGGGGAATTCAGCAGCATGCTTCCAAGGGAGACTTTTGCTGGGCACCCAGGTAAGATGGCTGGCCCTTTGGAGCTGAGACTGGTCTATGGTTCAAGAACACAGCCTGGTCTCCAGTGCTGACACTAATGCCCAGAAGGTGAGGTGAAGCGCAGAAGCCACTGACAGACAGTTGAATGAGTGTTGGGCATGGGTGAGGGCTGTGGGTTAGAGCAGTGGTTCTCAACCAGGGGTCCAGGGTCCCCTGGGGGGCCTCAAACAGGTTTTAGGGAGTCTGCCAAGCAGGGCCAATGTTAGATTCACTGGGGCCCAGGGCAGAAAGCTGAAGCCCCACTGCATGGGGTTGAAGCCCAGGGCCCTGAGCTTCACCACTGGGAGCTGAAGCCAAAGCCTGAGCAACTTAGCTTCACGGGGACCCCAGGCAATTGCCCTGCTTGCTACCTCCTAACTGGTCCTGGCTTTTATAAGCAGAAAAGCCATTGTTGTGGCACAGGTGGGCCATGGAGTTTTTATAGCATGTTTGGAGGGGGAGGGGGCTCAGAAAGAAAAAAGTTGAGAACCCCTGGGTTAGAGGGTGGCTGATGGGCACAATGGGAGATTAATGAGGACAACATAATCCTGGCAAAGTGGCAGAGACAAACTTCAGCTAAGAATGAGTACCCTTGCAATTCTTGCTGTCCTTCAGAGTAGCATGGCAGGGTCAGAGGTGTAATGGGATGTGCTACTCACTGCTCAGCAGTGCCTCCTCCTGGTTCAGCTGGGGAATTAGTTCACCGTAGTCTGTTCCATTGCCTCAGTCACTTGCTCTACAGCCTCTCTCACTCATCAGGAGCTGTAGCCTCTCTCCAACCAAGTCACCATCATCCTCCCCTTTGGGGTCTCATCAGTCTCTTCCCACAAAGTCTCAGGCAGTCTCCATCTCCACTGCACCACTCCCACAGCAGCTGGTAGGGGAACCAGGCCCACTCTCTGCACCAGGTTCCAATCCAGGGACCCTCAAACCCACAGTCCAGGTCTGTGCTCTCTTGGACTTTACTGCTCCTTCCCTGGACAGCTTCCTGTGCTGCCTTTTCAGGCTCCTGCTCTCCCCCTTGCATCAGGGGTGCATCTGCAGGCTTATCTCTCTGCCACCTCTGCTAGCCTGCTGTCCAAGGTTCTCTGCTTGGTTTCCCAGTCTGGTTCACTTCATTTGACCCTTTGACCTCACTCCTGTCCCTGTTCTTTTATTAGTTGTCCCCTGTAATTTTTTGGTCTCCAGGTCCTGTGGACCCCCGCTTAGGCGGGGGGGGGGGGATCCTTTAGTAGTGGGCGGGCTTCGCCCATTGACTTCCTGAATCCCAATAGGACCTCTGCTAGCCTCAGCTCCTCAGTTTTGTAGATTCTCCCACTTGTTCCTGCCCAGATGAACTTCATTCTCAATTAGAATCATTGTCAGTTAGCTCCCTCACAGGTGCAGCCTATGGCTAATTGGTCTCCCTTGCCACCTTAATCCCTTCAATGCCAGTGTGGGGTGAACACACCATCACAGGAGGTCAAGTATCAGAGGAGTAGCCGTGTTAGTCTGAATCTGTAAAAAGCAACAGAGGGTCCTGTGGCACCTTTAAGACTAACAGAAGTATTGGGAGCATAAGCTTTCGTGGGTAAGAACCTCACTTCTTGCATCTTGACCCTCTGTTGCCCATCACAGGAGGGTTGTGTCACATGTGGCTTGCGACTAGCTGCCCCTGGGGTACGATTTTTCTTCCTAGCTTTGTACCCATGGGAAAGTCACTGGTTGGAGGCTGGTCTCCCACTCCTCCTCCTCCTCTATTTCCCCACTGCCTTACACACAGCACAGACCCTGCACTCACAAGCGGTCACTTTAGTTACCAGAGGAATCACATGCTGGTTAACGAGAATACAGCTTTCTCACTACCATTGCTGCATCCTTTCTGCTTTGGCCCTGCAATGTCTGTGGCATAATTATCATCCCTAGACTACATGAGAGGACTGGACCAGCTAGTCTGCTTGTGCTTTATAGCAGGGGTTCTCAAACTGGGGGTTGGGACCCCTCAGGGGGTTGCAAGGTTATTACATGGGGGGTCACGAGCTGTCAGCCTCCACCCCAAACCCCACTTTGCCTCCAGCATTTATAATAGTGTTAAATATATAAAAAGTGTTTTTAATTTATTAGGGGGGAGTCTCACTCAGAGGCTTGCTGTGTGAAAGGGGTCACCAGTACAAAAGTTTGAGAACCACTGCTTTACAGCATTACTAGTGGTTACCTGCACATGCTCCAGGACTGTCAGTGCCAGGAGGCGAAGAGAAATGTCCTTCTCAGGAGGAGTTAGGGACAGACATGCACGCATGCATGCGCCAGCCCTGCTGTATCCAGAGGATTTGTGCACACCCACTCCCCTTGCCCCATTGTGAAGGAGAATCCTGTTTCATTGCAGGCACTGGGGACATCGCTGATGACATGGAAAAGCAGCTGCAGGCGAACAACATCCGCATCAGCGTTCTGGAGGAAGAGAACTCGCGGCTCAGGACTGCACTAGCCAAAATGAAAGAAACGGCCCAGGAAGGAGTGTTAAGGGTGAGTCTGTTCACAGGTGGAGAGGGCACCTCTCAGTGCAAGGGGGGCAGCTGTTGAATATCAGTAGGCAGTTGGCAGTGCAGGCAGAATCGGGGGTCAGTGCAACAGTGGGATCCCTACTGGACATGGAGGGTCCGTGACCCATCCCATGGCCCCTGGGACTCTGGAGCAGAGGGGTTGGAGGCCAATCCCATGGTCTCTCTAGACTTTGGGAATGGGGGATTGAGGCTTATCCTGTGCTCTCTCGAGACTGTACAACAGGGGGACTTAGGACACATCCCACTCTCAGTAGACTTTAGGGCTGGGGAATAGGAGACCCGTCCTGTGGCTCCTGGAGGTGGTGGAGCTGGGGAATAGTTGACCTATCCCATTTGGGGCTGGGGAATAGGAGACGTGTCCTGTGGCTCCTGAAAGCTGAGGAATAGGCGATCCGTCCCATGATCCCTATGGGGGCTGAGGGACACCCCCCACTGTTCTTGGGGGCTAGAAGCACAGGACCATTTTCACACAGCCTGTGCTCCAGGACTAATCCCCCTACCTCTGTTCTCTACTGCTGAAGGTTTGATTCTGCCTCCCTGTACATCTCAGTGAGGCTTATATGCCCCATTCCATTCCCCCTTGCGGCAATGCAGTCTAGTAACGAGAGCACAGTTGTAGGTCAGAACCAGTATGAGTCTGGGCTCTAATTTAAAATAGAAATGAGTGCAGACTGTTGGAATGTGCCAGAACTGCTGTGAGGCCTTGGGTGGAAGTCACATGACTTCCTTGCTCTATAGCTGGCTCAGCTGGAAAACTGGATCTAAAGAGCCACTGCGTTTGGACTGAGGTCTCCTGAATAACCCAAATCTGGAAATCTCTGTTGTCACTTCCCCAGCATGGGCCTAGGCGGGGGGCATGAGCAAGGCTCTCTGCTGAGCATGGCGCCTGTTCCAGAGAGCAATTACTGTATTAATATTCTTCATGTGGGCCTGCAGCTAATCTGGGCTCTGTGATCACAGGGGGGCTCTGGAGTCCTTCCTGGGGCCAATCCTGGGCTCTGGGATCACAGGGGGCTCTGGGGTCCTTCCTGGAGCCGATCCTGGGCTCTGGGATCACAGGGGGCTCTGGGGTCCTTCCTGGGGCCGATCCTGGGTTCTGGGATCACAGGGGACTCTGGGAACCTTCCCTGGGACTGAGTCAGTTTAGCATCAGTTTTGTATTTCACAAACAAAACCCTGTGCTGGCAAACGAGCAGTGGGTGCTAGGACTGACCCCTCTTCCCAGGCCCTGGCAGAGCACGTGAAAGAGCGAGCAGCTGAGCTGAAGTGGGTCAGCACCACATCAGCATGTGACACGTAAGCCCTTGTGCTCTGCTCAGCACATGCTGCCAAACCAGGCTCTAGGCATGCTCACTGCGCTGGCTGAGCGCCAGCAGAATTAGGAGTTACAATAGAGTCATTCACTCAATCGAAGCAAAAGCCTAAGTGCAGCCCTGGGCTTCCCATGACCAGGGAGCTGTTTGTAGGCTGTGGTGAGAGCAGCCTTTCTCTTCCCAGAGCAGGCTCCTAGAGGCTGCATAGAAAAGCAGACAATGAGTGCTGCTGAACCCATGCCTTGCTCTGCCTGGGAATGGGACATGGGCTGCAATACACTGCAATAGCTCAGGCCATGTCTGACTGTCAGTACAGTCTGTTCTTTGCTAGGCTTAGTCCAGTTCCTCATTTTTCCCTCTGATTTTGGAAAGGGAAGACCCTTCCAGCTAAATGTCTGGCCAGATGCACAGGGCAGTGGTTCTCTGGTAGCCGTGGACACTATGGCTATTTTCAGTGACAAACAGCAAAGAAAACCCCCGTCTGGAATGCAGCGAAGACACATACAGCGCCTGACCCAAAACCCATAGGGATAGGAGGGGGATCTGTCCAGTGGTGTAGCCAGGTTCTAACAGCAGGGGGAGCGAACACAAAAAAAGGCGCCACCCGCTGCGAAGCAGCGAAGAAAAGGAGAAAAAAAAGAAAAAAGAAAAAAGTCTTGCTGCCAAAGACTGAAGACCCCACTGCCAAAGTGCTGCTGAAGACCCCGCTGCCAAATTGCCCCGAAGACCCGGATGTGCCGCCCCTGCTGGGAAGCGCCCCTGAGTGAGTGTAAAAATTAGAAAAGCGCCACTTTTGGGGAATGTGCTCAGTGGGAGCGGCCGCTCCCCCTGCTCCCCCCCAGCTATGCTACTGGATCTGTCTAGGCCTTTAGAGAAGCACTGCTAGGGGGCTCGTCCATCTGTCTGAGATTTAATTGTGAGCTCATTTGGAACTCACAACAGTGAGGAATTAATCTCACCCCTCGGGACAGGGAGCAGTAAGACAGGAGCTGTAGAGAAAGCTAATGCTCTTCCCATCCTGGCCTCTCCGCCCAGCTTTACTAGTGCCCCCCAGGCACACCCTACAGCAGCCCTTCTTGCTGTACACTTGTCCCGCTCCACTCATCGTTACTTAGCTTGTAAATCTTGGGGCAGAGATCCCTTTGTTGGGGCGGCGCAGACCAGGACAGTACTATACCAATACAAATAAATAAGAATGTCAGGTTTGGCCAGACTGAGGCCCCCCAGTAATTGCACATAGGACGGTCACCCCTCTCATTTAAGCCCTCCCACTTTTCAACTCAAACCTGAGCCCTACTCTTGGAAAAGGCTGCTGCAACCAGATGATGGAGTTGCATGTTAGTCAAGCCTAGCGATTAAGGGTTCCTTAGCTGTATTACCAAGGCAGAAGAATACACTGGTCTACAATTTTTGAGAAGTAGTCTGCTTCAGAGTTAAAATGTGCTATTTATTATGTATTTTGATGTGCTGAAATCAAATATGACAATTAAAACAACTGATTGGCTACTGTTTCTAAGATATTTAAGTTTTTACATTTTATGTCTATGTATATTGTGTAGATAGTAGAGTTTTAATCATAAATTGTAAACCTAGGTCTTTTCATGTGTTTATGGTTGCTTTCCATGATAATATTTCACCTGTCCTGTTTATGTAACACTTTAAAAATCAGCAAAAGGGTTATATAAATCAAATTGATTATGAAACAAAAGACAAAAAACTGTTCTGTACATAGTTTAGTCCTATTCAGTGTCTACTCGGCGCTTCTTGGCTTGTCTCTTGTATTCATTAAAGGGAGCATCTCTTGTCACAGTCCAGCAATAGTCTGCAAGCATTGATGGGCTCCATTTGCCCTGATAGCGTTTCTCCATTGTTGCAATGTCCTGGTAAAATCGCTCGCCGTGCTCGTCGCTCACTGCTCCGCAGTTCGGTGGGAAAAAAATCTAGATGAGTGTGCAAAAAATTTATCTTTAGTGACACGCCGCAACCCACACTCTTGTATGCCCTCAGGCGCTCTCCCACCTACACCCT